TATATATATATATATAATATAGATATATATATACATGTGTATCTATGTATAATGAACCTCTCTCTCTCTCTCTCTATCTCTCTCTCTCTCTCTCTCACTCTCTCTCTCTCTCTCTCTTCTCTCTCTCTCTCTCTCTCTCTCTCTCTCTCTCTCTCTCTCTCTCCTCTCTCTGTCTCTCTCCTCTGCGCCGAGGCGTGACCCCAGCCATGGCAAGTGTATGGGTGGCTCCCAGCATCGTGTAAAACTAAACAGACCATCGGTACTCCCCACCAACTCATAAGCGTTTCTGTATAGAAGGTGCCCGCTCGCAGTTACACCTCGAGCGCTAGCACCTGCGTGCTTACCTTTACTGTTGAGTGCACAGCTGGAAGATTCCAGACGAAGAAGGTTTGCTCTTCGTCCGTTTTGAGTTTTTTAAACTCTTCGAACTGGCTTTCAGGTACCGACTGAGCCACCTGCGAAGCAGGTTTCACATATGAATAATTATGCCGAGACGCAACTAATACTATCATTTGCCTAAACTGCTCAGAAGACAATATTTTCTACCTGTCAGCTGTTCATGCGCCCACTCTGAACACCGCTGGCAATTAGCCCCGAAGGTGCACGAGTAAAAGACATCACGTCTTTGATATAGTCAGCCGGTAATTGGCTTCGATAGGGTCATCTGTTGCTCTTGAAGCACGAATGTGCGAGATAGACAGTGCTGGTAAATGGGTCTAAAACACAATGATTTCTGCGTTGCTGAACGGTAACATGAACGGCAAGACTGCATCTGAATTTTGCGGAGCTTCGCGAAAGCCATTAGTAACAAGATTATAGAAGTTTCACGCAGCTATACTTTTCGCCAGCTGTCAACACTGCATATGTGTAGCTGTATTTGCACTGGTTCCGCTGTACGGTGTTGCGTGCATGCCGCACACCTCGGGAAAGGTGCCGGGAAAAATGCAAACGGTTGCACAAACGAGTGGGGACAGGAGATTAGGAATGTGTAGTGGCTGAATATGGGCACAGCTTTATGAGTAACGGGTGGATTGGGTTTGGTAAATCTATCCGTTCAAGACCTCTGCAGACCTCCAGCTGTACCTGGGAGTCAAACGTCATGAAGTAGCCGTCCTTCTTGGTTTGCAACGTAGCGTCGCTGCAGAGCCGCTTGTAACCGGCGTCTATGACGGCCATCTTGTGAGCCTCGTCCCCTGAGGCGGCCGGCTGCTGACCCGAGGTCACGGCCGTCGAGTCCGCGTCCTCTGAGGCGGCCGGGTGTTGACCCGAGGTCACGGCCGTCGAGCCTGCGCCCACTCCGCCCACCGGTGCACCGGCAGAGTCCGTACTGAAGGATACTGATTCACCGCCGGCTTCGCTGACTGCCACAACGTCTTCCTGTTGACCATTGGTAGCCACTTTGGCGTCCTGGGTACTTGTGTCGTTGTCTAAAGCCATCTGGAAGCCGGATATGAGCGTTGTCAGGAAAATAGCTGGGGAGGGGCGGATCATCTTTTCCCAGTTGCCAGCTTCCATGCAGCCTTCCTCACAAAGATTTGTTACAAACCGTTTGCATTTTGCTATTTTTAATTTAGAATTTACAATGTACAAATTTAAATTGTTTCATGAAAGAGTGCGCGTTGTACAATCGAAGTTGCATAGCTCGATACCGTGTGTAACTTGGGATGCGGCTAGAGCCTTTCAATTTCCTCTGGACTCAAGAACATTTTAATGACTGTGAAAATATCAAAACGGGTGATATCAATGGGAATATTTGACAATAGGTCACATCTGGCGCACTATTGACGTCTTTCCAGCGATACTTAGCTTAAATGACTGGTGTGACTACTTAAGTGACTTGGCGTAGGTGGCGTGCTAGCGTACTTGCTGATGATGTGTGTGTGTGGAGCGTTCGCGTTTTTGTCATAGCAAGGCTGCTGACACGTTCACAAATAACGACTAACAAGTCAGCCAGGTAGGCATTGACTATTCTTTAATTGTAACAGCGAACTATTTGAGTTATCGGGAGATGTCCGAGCTTGCACCATGGACAGAAATATTTAAGAAGCCCTGCCCGATCTATGCTCTAATTGTTCGGTTTGGTTTGTTAAATGGTCTGGGTTAATGTCGCTGTGGCAGTGATCTTGTGGGAACAAGATCTCTGCTGCCAGTTGAGTAACTACGGGTGGGATGGGGTGGGGACCTCCAATTTTCACCTGCCACTTTGTCTGCACCAAGTCACCCATGGATGCATGCTAGTCATGTTTTCCCTTTCGAAACATTACTCTCAGGTCGGCCTGTGTACTCTATAATTTAGTTCTCACCCGGGCTTAGCTTATTCTCAGTTTCAGTGGCATTGACATACACTATCTGTAATACAAATATATGCATTTTGTTTGTTTGCAAACATAACGTTTAATCGGAATGCTTAGCTCCAGGTGTACATCCATCCAAACCGAAATCTGGTTTCCTTCCAATACCATTTGTGACAAGCATGAAAAGGACAGCATGACAAGTATTGGCACTTACGTTATCCAGTAGGCTCATTGTAAATGATGGACGCTTCAATGAAGCCACATTAAACATATCTTAGCGTTTTCTTAAATAATGACAATGGTGCATACACATACTTTTCTCAATATCCACACGACTGTGCCACATATTCTGCATCAAGGGGTAGGCTTTTAAATAATCTGACATCCTAATGAGGCTCTGAGATGTTGCTTGCCTGTCTGGCCATAGTACCTACTATTCATGGCAAGTGGGAATGGTTATCATTCATAATGCAATTCAACACAGCAATAAACACAATTTCGAATTACCCATCCCAGGCAAACCTAACACACGTCCGGGTGTCCGGCTGGATACTCTTCGCTGGGGTGGGGGGTCAATTTGACCTCCCTGAGATCTCGGGAATTAAGAGAGCTAGACACACTAAATTTGCAAAGTGTATTGACCTGCACGTGAATTCACTTAGGCCAAATTTTGAGGTTTCTAGGCCATGCCCTTCAAGTCACATAAGGTAAAACACGGTCAAATTCCAGGTTGGTCTCCAAAGTGCCCCAGAACCTAGATAACTGCTTTAAGCAAAATGCCACAAGCTCAGTTAAAATCAGTGACCTTGTTTAACCTTTTTGAGGTCATGTGACCAAAATCATACGAGACTGCTCTTAGTTTTGCATTTGAATAAGCGACAAAGATTTCGCTTGGCAGCATGTTTCTAAAAACAAAATGTTGACCCGAGTCATCTTAGGTCAATGACCTATTCTGACCTCTAAGAAGTCCATGGAAGATGCATAATACGCGTTCTGCTATCAATGAGTTCGAAATGAGCACCATAAACTATCCCATGCAGCAAGCCCTAGAGTAATAAGGCAGTTCGGCTTTGACCGTGGTCTGACCTTCATATCTGACCTAAGGGCAACGGAATTTGCTCATTCAATATTTGTGTTGCCTATGAAAGCATCTCAGGAATGTATGGCTTCGTCTAACACTCCGTTGCTGCATCAGATTGAATGATTCCTTAGAAATTGCCTTGGCTGAAACCATGGCCTGACTTTGACCTGCTATAGGTCAGCGATCTTACAAGGTACATCTACAATTTTACACCGAACGATCCGCAGTTTGGTTGTCTACAAGCCGACGCCCAGCACTGCAGTCAACTGATGCTGGGCGGCGTCCGCCGTCGCAGGTAACACCAAGCCGTGAGCGGCACGCGACACAAAATACCTTTGCGTATGCAAATGATGCTACGGAGCGCTCCTTGAGCCGTCGTGCGAGAATGTTCCGGTCTAGGGTCTAATATACGGATCAGACGTTGCCCGATCGATTGCCATTTTGGCGGAAACTTAATGTGCTGTGGAGTATGGACTCCTTGTACGAGCATGCTGTTAGCATTGCTTTGGACTCTCACCTCTCTAAGACCACTCACGTGATGCAAATAAAACTATGCATAACATATGACTCAGAATATATTGTCTGGCGTACAACTTGGTACATACGGCAAGTTCTGCAACCTGTACCAAGGATGTAGAGGGGGGGGGGGGGGGCGGTAAGGTGACCCCATGCATATCTTGGTCCTTACCGAGCCTGTGTATTCGATGCACCGGCCCAAACAGCAACTAATCACAGACTGGAAACCCAAAACGCGTGTTGGCAGAGATCGCACGGTAGCAGAAATACCGTCGCAGCTGGGCTCCACATATTGTCCAAGCTCCAGCTCCACCGCAGACGTCGTCGGCAGTCTGGCGCTGCGTCGCACTCCTAGTGTGAGCCAGATAGGGCAAGATGGCCGGCGGCGCCCGCACTTTGTCCCGCAGCTCGCAGTCGCTGAGGTCTCGCGGTGGAGGCTGTGTGACTGGTCCGTGCCAGGGAATCAGTTCGGTGCACCTCATAGCCCCGAAGTTTACTGCTGAGATGGCAAAGACCCTCGGCTGAGGAAGACCCTCGGTTTGCTACTCACGAGCGGCGCGACGATCGGAACCGCCTGTTCGCGGACCATGGGGTTCTCATCCCACACCATGCCCAGCAGCAGCTGTTTCGGACGGACCTGAAGTTGCGTAAGCCAAAGTCGCAGCCGCTGTTTTGCCGGATGGCGGACCATATCGGCACATAATGGCCGACCACTCACTGGACGAGGTCCTTGAGAGCGCTGCTGGAGGTCTCGGTAGATTGGCACGGGCCCCGACCTAGGCTTGAATGCCACAACGTCCCTCTCCCAGACCTCTCCGGCACAGATCTCGCCGGTGGGTCCAGAAAAAAAATTCGATCTCGCGGTCGTGCCATCCAGGCTCAGCAGAAGATGGAGGAGGTTCAGCTCGTTGCCGTGCAACTGGCAGATGAACCAGCGTGCGGATGACTCAGTGGCCAGCTCAAACAGCCAGAACACATCGCCCATCGTTTTGGTGTTGACTGCCGTGCCATCGCAGCCGAGCACATTGCTGTGACCATCGCGCTGTGGTCTCACGGAATGTAGCTTGTTGAACAAGTGCAGGGTGCGGCCGAACTCGGACGTAAAATAGGTCACGTGGCGGCTGCATGGCTCAGTGATGACAACCATGTGTTTTTCGACGGCATTCATCTGGCTCCGTGTGGATCATGTAGCTTCTGCCTTCACGGCCGTCAGAGAAGAGGATGGGGAAACCCGACTCATGGATTGCTTCAAAATTTAAACGAGCCGTCTCCTTTCTCGCTCTGTCTCTGAAGCAGCACATCTTCTTAGGATCTACGACATTCGATTTCAAGTAGCCAGTCCATCTCTGCTGTCTTGTTGAAAGGCGTTGATGATAGCAACAGCGGCCTGGTTCCAGCCACTGTAGCTGTCAGCCGCCAGAGCGATGCTAGTCAGATCGTTAACGTCATAATCTACAGTGGCAGTGATCTCAACCAGAACGAGCAATCGGTGTCGCCACCACCTTCTACCAAGTACGGAACCGTATACAAATCCGTGCTCTCGGCTGACTCGCCAGCGCTACTACCACTTGGTCCCGCAGCAGGTTCTGGGTCAGCACTAGCAGCCAACTAAACCTGCAGCTGGCTCAGCAGGTGGCGCGGGCTCAGCAGTCGGCGGGGATGGCGACTCAGGTTCAGCAGCAGACAGTGCCTCCCTGGCGGCCGAGCCACGACACCCCTGGAGTTGTCTGGCCATCCTCCGCACCTCGCGAGCCTCCCTATGACAGTGTAAACCTGCTGAGCTTGCAGAACGCTGGATACATGACAAGTGCGTGTAGTTATGCTTAAATGGGCGGAGTGCAAGGAAGTGATGAAGCTGCCGGTGCACACAAAGCTCTTGATAAAAACAATATTAAATGCTATCCCAGAACACAGCAGCAACACCTCTCCAACTTTCTCAGCACCCAGCATCTCACACAAGGTGCAGTGCCTATGACAATGATGACTCACAAGGAATGCTTGCCTGCATACAAAACTTGTTAAGACGGCTGTATGTGCATCCATTATAATAAAGCACTATATTTTCAGAATTCTTAAGTGAACGACAATTTTGCGAAGCCGTATCGTGCGAGCTTTTACCAAGCATGTGCATTAATGAGCTGTACCGAGCTGTCCCTGCGGCCTAAATAAGTTACTAATATAATGGCATGCGATGAATTAATTACATGCTGTAATATTTCAATAGGTTCAAAATGTTGGCAAGATCATAATAAAGTAGGGAATTAACTTTGAACGCCCATGCAGCA